AATTCAGTGCATTGTATATTTTCTTTCTCTTTTTTGTCTGTGCATAAATAGGTGCTTGATTGAGAGTTTTGCTTTAGTTACAATGCAATATTTGGAATGAAAACGGAGTTTATCTTCAGTAAACAAAACTGTATCAGGTCTTATTGTAGAAATACACAAATTCTGTGGGTATTGAAGTCGTCGAGCTATGTACCTGTGTGTCATCAAATAGAGTTTGAACTGTGTGGTTGCATTTTGAATATACACTGTAGGTTTTGCAATGTTTGTTTTGAAGTCTTTAGGCTTAACATATAACTGGTTGACACTAGAGGTTCATTAAACACACACACACACACACACACACACACACACACACACACACACACACACACACACACACACACACACACACACACACACACACACACACCCCCTCTCTGCTGAATTTCTGAAATGCAGAAAATGCATTTTTTTATTCTCTCTCTCTCTCTTATATTTTGAAGTGATTCCACTCAAGGTTCCTCCATATATTCTTAATGATGTATCACTGTAATTTGAACTCAATGGATTCTCCTGATTAGTAGTCTATTTCACTTGTTCAAACAGGTTCAGATGACATTTAAATATAGCTTCCAATTTATTGTATAAGAAGCTCAGCAGATAAAGAAGGTTAGAGTTTATATTGAAAAGAAAAAAAAAAAATTGTCCATGCATGAGTTTTTTATATATATCAAGTAAATTATACAAACATTCCACTATTATCCATTACCAAGTGGTCAGCCATTTAAATGTAGCTTTTTAGTCAGTGGAGATATATCAATGCATGTTGCATTACTCTATATTGTCGCCCAGGGTGACAACCAGGCATGATAACTTGTGACTTGTAACCTATTGAATGTGGCAGAAGAAATAATGACCTTTATTTCTGCTTGTTCTAGACACCATACCAAAAGTAATAGCGCCCTTTTTTCTCTCTCTCTTTTTTTTCTTTTTTTTTATTATTATCCCTGCCTAATCTGGCAAAAAAAAAATGGTTTTATTGGTTTCGATGTTGGTTAGTATTGATATACAGTAGGAGATTAGAAGCGAAACCCCATGACCAACAATCTTTAGTATCTTGTTATTAAATGCTGTTTAGGAGTTTCGGTATTTTTTCAGTATCTCCTCTTTACTATCGTTAACTGTGCATCCTCCAAGCAATATAGCGAAAGGCATGTTTTTGTACCGTCTTCAATATGCCAGAATAACCCCTGTCTTAAATCAACTGACTATACAGTTTGGCTTTTATATACTATAATGTTTTTCCCCTTTTTCTGCCCTCATAAAAAAGTAAAAAAAACAGAAAAAAAAGAAGAATGCCTCCTGTCAGTATACATTCACGCGAAACAGGATTTTTTACTTGATCTTCCCAGTTATAACCTGACATTTCTCTGACCACAATCTGTAGAAAAAAAAAAAAAATTTAACATTATGGGAACATATTGAAATAAGCCAAAGCCAGGACCTATTTAAACAAACGATTTACCTACTACTAAAAGGTTATAGAAGACATACCCAGTGTTGTGTATTTGGTAAAAACTGGATTTGTAACCAATACATTTCATTTCAGTCCTGTGTATAATGGAGACCACTCGTATTTTATCCTTTTCCTTTCTTTTTTTTCTTAGATAGTTTTAGTTACAGTTACCAGCAGGTCTGGGTTTAGAATATTTAAAAAAAAAAATAGTAATAATAATAAAAAGCAAAAGAAAAAAATATTAATTCTTAAGAGACAAGCAAAGGATGATGATAGGATGGATTAATAATGAGAATATTGATTTAAGATTAGTACTAGGTAATTAAGGCATGGTGAAATCATAGGTAGAAGAGAAAAAACGAACCAATCACAGCTCATGAGAAAATACAGTACTAGGACTGTCAACGCAGTCTTTTCTTAGGATCATTAAGCATTAAGAAGAATCAATAGTTCCAGTACTTAATATAGCAGTCAGGAATTACTAATGTGCTTGACTACAGAAGTCGTTGTTGTTGTAGTTTCTAGGCTGTTCTGCCGACTACTAAATTGCGACAGGTTTCCTTCTAAAATCACCTTCCTTGGGAATATTGTTTAGTAAAATAATACATATAACTTACATAGTTCAAACGTTATATAGCGATGGAAAATAAAATCATTAATTAAGTCTAAAGCAGATGCATTATGATCATCATAATGAAGTAATGGCATGCAACAGTTTTATTATTATTACTGCTCCCCTAAAGCACAAAATATACTCATGCATTTTTGTTTTTTTTTTCTGTATTTTCAAGTTAACTCATGGATGACATTAACTAAGTGATCATGATACATAATTTTGTAAGATAACAGTACATAATACCTCATTAAAATTATTAAATAGATTAACCTCATTTTTCTTTATTTTCAAAGTTTTGAACATATAATTCATTGGTTTAATTATAGACACCTATGTCATGATACTTAGATTCTCGTCTTTTAGTTCAGTATCTTGAAGTTCTCTGGGCT